GTGGAGGACCTAGCTCTGGCTGGAGTGTTCGGGGATGCCCGTGTCACTCACTGAGATGAGGCGTGTGAACCAACAGGTTCCCTTCTTCTCTGGACAATAGTTTCTTCTGTAATTCCTTCCAGCTCTCCAAATCTAAACTTCTACTTCCTAATAAGAAAATTTCTCTGCAAGAAGGTAGAGGCACAAAAAGGCTCAGCCAGCATGGCTCCGTGGTTGAACATCCACCCATGAACCCAGAAGCCACGGTGCGATTCCCCAAGGCACATGCCCTGGTTGCAGGCTGGATTCCCAGTAGAGGCCATGCAGGAGGCAGCTGATCAATGATTCGCTCTCATCATTGCTGTTTCTCTCCCTCCCCTGGCCCTCTCTGAAATCAATCAAAACCTATTTAAGAAAAAAAGGAAATAGGGTGGGTGTGGGCGGGGAGGAAGGGATGGTGACATGAATGGCCGTGAAGTTGGCTTGAACATCTTGCCAGGATGGCATTCAGCCCATGACGGAGGATGCGTGGGGGATGGGCAGAGCTGGGCAGCACCACCCACGAGGCCCCCTGTGTGCTCCTCAGGGGAAGCATCTTCCATGCGTCGCACAAGCTGCAGTGCTGCTCCCCCCTCCCCGAGCGCCCGGAGGGCAGATGGACACTGCTTGCCAAAGTATTTAGGTCAAACTCCTCCTGAGAGGCCTGGAGCAAAGAAAGGCCAGAGGCCAAAACCACATTCTCTTATAAAGCCAATCACAAGGGAATTCCGCACATGCCAGATTGCCTCTGTCTGTTTGGGCTGTTAATTAACAATGCCAGAGGCTGGGTGGCAGTGATGGCAAGGCTCTGCTTCCTGGTTCGCAGACAGCCATCGTTTTGCCGTGTCCTCACATGGCCCAAAGGGCGAGGGCGCTCTGTGGGGTCCATTTGATGAAGGCATTCACTCTATTGTGAGGGCCCCACCTTTATTGCTCCCCAAGGCCCCTCCACCAATACCATCACATGGGGCTTTAGGACTGAATCCTGGGGGACACGGACATTCAGTCTCTAGCCCAGATCTAAAAGGTCTCTGGCTCAGGCTCCCGCACCTCTTGGCTGATTCACAAAGAGGGGCCAGTGCCCGCACTGCAGTGAGGAGGACACGCAGGAGTGGGGAGGTCCGGCCTGCTGAAGCACCATTCTCCCCTGAGTGCTATGAGGAAGAGCCAGAATCTCAGAGAAACCCGGCTGGCTGTCGGCCACCTCACTTGGAGCAGCTGTGACATTATGGCAACTTGTTTCCCAAGCTTGGCATCTGCCTGAAGGTGGTAGAGAAGTGGTTCTCAACCCTACTCTCCAAACGCTGGTTTCAGGCCTTGGTTCCACCCCCCACCCAGCCCTCGGGTCAGTTTCACACACACACACCCCCCTCGTGCCCAGCCCTGGCTCCTGGCACCACCCCTGGACATTCTTCCTTGGTCCTTGCTTGTCCCACAGAAGGGCTTGAACACCAAGACTCAGAGACAAGTTGAAGGGTGAGCAGAAACAGTTGGTTACCCTGGAGCAGAGAAACAGGATTATCCATGGCAAGTTCCCATTAAGCAGCCCGGAGGCATGCCTGTGCACGCCAGCCCGGACACGGACACATGCTTGTACTATGTGAAGCTCTGTAAGAGAAAGGCACAGACTGGTAGCCACTGGAGAGGAGAAACTTGGGAAAGAAAGAAAGAAAAAAAGAGAGAGAAAGAGAGAGAGAAAGGAAGGAAAAGGGATTTAGTTATACTTTGTTTTTATTTAAAATCATACCTATGTTGTGAAATGAAAAATTACATGTTTTTCTTAAGCATGAGTGTTTGGACTGGCATTCTACAAAAGAAAGGCTGGTAGTAAGTTACTTTAGGCTTTGTGGGCCTGTCACAGCTATTCAGCCAGTGACACAAAAGTAGCTCTGGAGACCATGTGAAGCAGTGGGCATGGCTCTGTTCCCATAAAACTCTATTCACACAAATAGGCAGCAGGCCAGGTTGAGTCTATGAGCTGGCCAGCCTCTCTCTCTCTCTCTTTTTTTTAATAAAGCTTTATTGTTCATATTATGACAAATGTTCCTCATTTTTTCCCCCCTCCATCAAGTTCTCACCCCCCTCTGCCCTTTCCCCACCCCCCATTGTCCTCATCCATAGGTGCACAGTTTATGTTCAGTCTCTTCCCACACCCCCCACTCCCTTTTCCCCGAGAATCGTCAGTCCACTCCCCTTCCATACCTCTGATTCTATTATATTCACCAGTTAATATTGTTCATCAGGTTTTTTTAAATTCCCTTGGTTTTTAGATTCACTTGTTGATAGTTACATATTTGTTGTTCATAATTTTTATCTTTATTTTCTTTCTCTTCCGAAAGAACCCCCTTCAGCAATTCATATAATTCTGGTTTGGTGGTGATGAACACCTTTAGCTTTCTTTTATTTGTGAAGCTCTTTATCTGGCCTTCGATTCTGAGTGATAGCTTTGCTGGATAGATTATCTTTGGCTGTAGGTTCTTGCTAATCATCACCTTGAATATTTCTTGCCATTCCCGTCTGGCCTGCATGGTTTCTGTTGAGAAATCAGCTGACAATCATATGGGTGCTCCTTTATAGGTAACTACCTGTTTCTCTCTTGCTGCTTTTAATATTCTCTCTTGGGATTTTAATTATGATGTGTCTTGGTGTGGTCCTCTTTGGATTCCTTTTGTTTGGGGTTCTGTGTGCTTCCTGGACTTGTAAGTCTAATTCTTTCACCAGGTGGGGAAAGACTTCTTTCACTATTTCTTTCAGTATATTTTGCTCTTTCTCTTCTTCTGGGACCCCCATAATTCTGATGTTGGTTCGCTTGAAGTTATCCCAAAGGTTTCTTACATTATCTTCAACTTTCTGGATTCTCTTGTTTTCTTGCTTCTGTAGAGGAGTGTCTTCTGGCTCTTTATGTTCCAAATCTTTGACTTAATTCTTGTGATCTTCCATTCTATTTTTAGGACTCTGTATAATATTTTTTATTTTAGACAATGTATTCTTTATTTCTATTTGATCCCTTTTCATATCCTCATAGGTCTTATTTATTTTATTGGCCTTTTCTTTTTTCTTTTTTTAAAAATATATTTTATTGATTTTACACAGAGAGGAATTGAGAGGGACAGAGAGTTAGAAATGTCAATGAGAGAGAAACATCAACCAGCTGCCTCTTGCACACCCCCCACTGGGGATGTGCCTGCAACCAAGGTACATGCCCTTGACCAGAATCGAACCCGGGACCTTTCAGTCCACAGGCCGATACTCTATCCACTGAGCCAAACCAGTCCTGGCTTATCGGCCTTTTCCAAGAAATTCTTGAAAAATCTTATAAGCATGGTTTTGAACTCTGTATCCAATCGCTTTTTGTCCTCCATTTCTTTCATTTGTGATCTGTTTCCTTGTCTTTGCATTTTCACAGCTTCCCTGAGTTGGTAGCCTTAAAAGTCTCTGTGTTCAGCTTGGATGGAGCGAGTTTCAGGGTGGAGCCTACAGCCTTGGCTTCCGTCAGCCCTGCCCTATGAGGCTCCTGAGTCTCAGTGTTCTTCAGTGTCCTTCAGTACTCACTGCAAGCACTTCTGAGAGAAAGGTGCCCTCAAATTTCACCTGCTACCAAACAGTCTAGGCTCTCCCCCAATGAGCCCGGAACTGGGGTTCAGTTCAGTTGGAAGTGGGGTCCCTGGGGCCATTGGTAGAGGATCAATGCTTTCATACAGGTAGAGGGTGGGGGGCTTCTCCGGGGCCAAGATCTTCCCTGAGCCTCCGCCTGTCCATCTTCAGACCCGCACGGCCTGCACATTGCCATTTGGCATCTCCTTGACCCCCGAGGGCTGTGGAACCTGATGGTCTGGATTTGAATTTCGGTCCCAGTGTTTGCTGGAACCTGGGGCAAATCACTCAGCCCACCAAGCCCTGAATTTCTCAACCCGTGAAATAGGGATGTGGATGCCACTTTATTGTGAACATAAAACACGATCACATGAAACAGATGGATCGCAGCGTCGGCGGTTAAGTGTTCCGTGCAGGCCAGCTACTTGGTGACCTTTGGCTTTCTTCTGACTTTTGCCTTCCTGTCACAGCCCAGATGGGGGCTGTCTTCTCCCTCGTGACATACCTAATCTTATTGTTGTGTGTTTCAGGGCTTGCTCTTGGATCAACTCCCACTGACATCCGCGTGCCTACCGCTATGTGTTTCCGGAATCTTGAGACAGCGCCACCCATTCCAGAGCATTCACCATCCTCAGTAACTGGCTTGCTATGAACTTCACAGAGTGGGCTTCACCCAGGGTTTTTCCTAGAGCCTTCCAGGCACCCTGTTTCCTAGAGCAACACGACCCCTCCCTGGATTTCTCTCCGCAGAAAGTGGGGTGTTAGGCATTCCTGGCTGTTACAGAGACTCACCCAGGCCTGGAGGCATTTCTCCTCGGGCTTTGCCCCACCAAGGAGCAGTTAGCAGCTCCTCCCAGATCAACTGGCAATCCTCTTTTCCACATTAATGACCTCATTAATGCATCTCAGGAGCCAGACCCAAAGGGCAGTGTTTGCAATGTTTGCAATGCTTTCATTTCAGCTCAGCCAGTAACTATAATAGAATCAGCTTCAGATAACTGAGATGTCTCTGGCCCAGAGCCTCACCCTCACCTCCCGTCCAGGCTTCCAGGAAAGTGGCTTGTTTCCTTGTGTCAAGGGGATCATTAACTTCTCTAATTGTTCTAACCTGTCCCAGTGTGGAACACTGGCTACAGCAGAGTGCACCTTGGTCCCCTGCAGTGGCCAGAGAGGGAGGGGAGTGGGGCAGGGGTGAGATGGGGGAGTCTGGTGTCTATCAGGGGGTGGGGCTTGGAAGCCCCACCCTCCCCAGAGCCAGCTGGGATACCTGTCTTTCTCTTTTTCTTGTTATTTCAGCAGGCTTTGAGAAGTTAATCTTTCTCTCCTAGAGAGGCTTCCGTTCTTTCCTATCCTGAGAGGAACACCCAAGGGAGAAGACCTGAGTTGCCATGAACTCTGCCATCACCAGCCGTGAGCACCCTGACCCCTCGGTGAGTGCTGGTGAGGGTGGGGGGGGGGGGCTGCAGGGACCGGAGAACCCTGGAGGGGCCCTAGCATGGAGCCCCAATACCTGATTCATCATTAGGGGAAGAAGGAAGGACAGACCGATGGCGTAGGTGCTGGAGATCTGCGATGGTGCAATGGTTAGACAGGGGGAGCATCTGTGCTGGGACCTCACCATCGCCGGGGCAACGATCCCTCCCTGAGTGCTGACCTCTGTGAATGAATCACAAAGGGGAGGAAGAGGTGGAAAACTCTCGGCTTTATCTTTACTCACAGGTCGGACTGTCCTGGATCTAAATGTTTGTTTTCCAGGTTATGGTTCCTTTGATCAGAGATCCTTTCTGAAGCAAAGCTAAAGGGCAGAGAGGGAGGGAGGGAGAGAAGAAGAGAGAGAGAGGGAGAGAGAGAGAACACTGGTATTTCCTGAACAGTCAAAATATCCCAGGCACTTTATGCACTTTATTTCGTGCTTTGGAGCCCATGGAGCAAGCGCTCTGCTCCCATTTTCAAACGGGGAAACTGAGGCCCAGAGAAGTAAAGTCAGGGTAAGCCTGTCCCTACTGTTAATGAAAAAAAAATAAAAAACACATTGAAACTTGTAAAGAATTTTTGTAAGTCTATTTGAGCCAAACTGTTGACACATTCGGGGAAGCAGATTATCTCAATGAGATAATGCTCCGAAGAATGGTGGATTACATTCCTATTTATACAATGCAATCAAAGGAGGGACATAGGTGGGTTACATAAAATTCATTGGTGACAGATTAAGGAGGTGGGATAAACCAAAGCGGTGGGAAACCCCGTGGACTGGATAAAAAGTAAAATTATGGACAGGTAACTTAGGTGAGTACAGGAACAGTTAACAGGGTAAAGAAGGAATTTGAGGCTTCTGTCCTGGCACCCACCACATTGGGTTGTGCCCTAGGGGCTCCAGAAAAAGGGAAGTTACAAGTTACTCAGACATCTCACAGATATGTTATCTTAGAGGCCTAAAGGCAAATGGGCTCAGGAAGGAAGATCTAAGCTGATCTTTGTCAGGTGAAATATTGGTCTAGGACATGACTACCCACTATAACCTGTTTGTAGTTTAAATATTTAATTTTCAAACAATCTTTTGTGATTATTTTATTTTTATTTATTTTATTTTAAATATATTTTATTGATTTTTTAGAGAGAGGAAGAGAGAGGGATATAGAGTTAGAAACATCAATGAGAGAGAATCATCAATCAGCTGCCTCCTGCACACCACCTATTGGGGATGTGCCCGCAACCAACGTACATGCCCTTGACCAGAATCGAACCTAGGACCTTTCAGTCTGCAGGCTGACGCTCTGTCTACCAGTTTCGGCTTGTGGTTATTTTAGGTCTTTGAGTTTGCAAGACTGCCACGCAGGCCTCCCCTGAGTTTGTCAGGGTAGCATGCGGCTCTTTTTGTTCACACTACCACCTCTGCAACCTATTTTGGCCATGGGAGAGGGGGGCGGGGGCTCTGCTCTGGCCACTGGCCACCGCAGGCAGAAGGAGCCCCTCCTTGCACGCCAGGCCCGGGCTGCGGCTGGTGATGCTCAGCCCAGGTGTCTGCAGGATGCGATCCAGGCCGGGCTCTAGGCTGTCTGCTGGAGCCGCTCGGCAGGGCCTGCTCCTGTGGCCAGCCTCTGGTCAGGAGGCCCTGGCCCCTCTTTCAGAAAACCGTGGGGGCACCTGAGAGAATGCTCCTTTTTTCTCCTCAGAACCATTTCTACCACTACCTCATGGAGGCCCCTTTTCCCCCCAGAAAAACCCCAAACTAAACAAATCTTAAGTCAAAGAAGACCCTCTCTTTGGAAGGCTGTTATGGTTGCCACGTTTGGGGCTTATGGACCAGTGGAGGGGTCTGGCCACGGATCCGGCTCCTTTGAGCGGCCTGTCTTCTCTTCATTTTCCTCAGAGCCTCAGCGTCAGCACCCAGCGGAGAGAAAGCGCTGCTCTGGCATGCGTTTGGTTTTCACGCACAAGTGGCTCTGAGAGAAACGCCCTAGGGCTATCGACACAGGAAGATAGCTTCCCAACCCTGAGAGCTTATGGAAGTTTACTGAGCCCGAGGCAGGGAACTCACGCTGGCAGGGCGTCGGGAGAGGGGATGGAGGAGGAGACGTGGAGCTCTGGGTGCAGGATAACAGGCCTCGGTGGGAGAGACCTGGGCAGTCCTGATGGGCGAATGGGAGTGTTAGGAAATGAGCTGGGAGGGTGGAGTGGGGGCTGTGATAGCTCGCTGGTGGGACACACTCAGCTGTGCCCGCCGCAGCCCCCTGAGCTCATTCACAGGCACACACGGGAGGCCAAGGTCCCGATCCATGCATTCTAGGAACTCACATCCCACAGAAGAGGTGGATGAGGAAACCGCTCATTATAATAAACATGCTGTGCGCTGACTGGTTTGGCTCAGTGGATAGAGCATCAGCCTGGGGACTGAAGGGTCTCAGGTTCAATTCTAGTCAAGGGCATGTACCTTGGTTCCAGTAGGGGATGTGCAGGAGGCAGCTGATCTATGTTTCTCTCTCATCGATGTTTCTCTCTATCCCTCTCCCTTCTCTCTGTAAAAAATCGATAAAATATATTTTAAAAATAATAAAAATAAATAAACGTGCTGTGATGAGAGCTTTGGCAGATGTCAGCACATGGCCTGGGACAGCTTCATCATTCTGGGACCAGGATCCCCCTTTTCCTGACTGGTTGGGAGATAAACATGCCCGTGTTCTGACCTTGGCTTTGACCCCATCCCTTCCTACACAAAGCTGCTTCTCTGCCAGGGCTTTGGCTTGGCATCCACTCCCTTTGCATGGCCCCAGACTTCACATGGAGGCCTGTTGGGAGGTACAATATAGAAAACCATTGGCCTTCTGAGTTTGGACCTAGAAAGCCCCAGCTGGCCAACAGTTACCCCTGTCTCATGCCTCTGGCCTGTGTGTGGCTGAACAGGAAGTCCACTTGATTCGTCTTGAAACGCCCAGATGTGTCCTTGTCTTGTTCCCAGCAGAAGCGTGATGGCGTGGTCACCATCTATGATGATGGCCAAGGCAGGAAGAAGGATGGCCATCACAGGAGTCCCAGCAGCAGCGACCTGGCCTATGGCATCCTGGACATTCCACCATGGTACCTCTGCATCATCTTGGGGATCCAGGTAATGCCACCCAGCGAGCACTGGGTCCAAAGAGGCTCTGACTCAAAAGCCACATCAGTACACACCTAGGTCAAATTAGTCAAGATCCACACTTCAGTTGTGGATATTCTTGTCTTCCTTGTAGTTGACCTCCAAGGGAACTCAAAGCTTCTTGGGTTTCTCTCTCCAGGAGTTTCGGGGTGGGGGAAGGAATTAAGGAGGATTCTCTATCTCTAAAGACAATGACTGGGACATTGTGGTGTGTTTTTGTTGCTGTTGTTTTACAAAGATACTACTTTTAATTTATTTGATTGGCAACAACTAAAAAGCACGACAACCAATGCCTGGGAAATTCTGAAAAACAAGCACTTTTGTTGGAATGTTATTTGGTACAACCTTTCTAGATAACAATTCGGTGATTTCTATTAACGTGTAATACACAAATACCCTTTAATCCTGAGACGTAAGAATTTCTCTGAGGATATGCTTATTAGACTTGTTAAGATAAATACAAAGATGTTCTTCTAACATTACTGATAATAGTAAAACCAAAATCACACAACAAAGCAAACAAAATATCCACCATAGGAAACTGGTTAAATAATTTGTGACATAATCTAACAAGTGATGTTTTTATGAAGTTATTAAAAAGAGAAATATATATTTACCCCATGGTTAGAGAATGTTCTCCTAGATATATTAAGTGAAAAGAGCATAGTAAATAGCTGTGCATAGCGTGATAAAAAGGACGATAGAAATAAGTATATGTAGTAATTTTATATGTTTTGAAGGATTCACAAGAAACTAACAAAGGTATTTAACCGTAGCTTTCAACTTTCACTTCTTAGTTTGTAACTTTTGATTGCATGGATATTCTATCTCATATATGTGTTTCTTTTAATTTTACGAACTGTTCCATGTGGCATATTGGGATGGGATATACATTTTTGTTTGCTTCTTTGTGCTTTTCTATAAAATAAGAGCAAATGTCTTAAAGCGTTGTTTTTTAATCCTTGCCTGAGGACATTTTTTTCATTGATTTTTAGAGGGAGTGGAAGGAAGAGGGAGAGACAGAAACACAATAAGTTGCCTTCCATACCCCCCAAAAAGGGTGGGGAGCCTGCAACCGAGGTGGATGCCCTTGACCAGAATTGAACCTAGGACTTTTCAGTTCACAGACCAATGCTCTATCCAATGAGCCAAACCGGCTAGGGCTATCATACTGTTTTTAAAATATAAGCCAATAAAATGGTTAATTTAGGAATATTATCATGAAGGATGTTGAATTTTGTAAAATGCTTTTATTGCATCTATTGAAATGATCATATGATTTTAGCCTTTATTAATATAGTATATCATATTTATTGATTTGTGTATGTTGAACCATCCTTGCATCCCCAGGAATAAACTCCACTTGGTCATGGTGTATAATCTTTTCAATGTACTGTTTAATTCCATTTGATAGTATTTTGTTGAGAATTTTTGCATCTATATTCATTAAGGCTATTTGGCCTATGGTTTTCTTTTCATGTAGTGTCTTTATCTGGCTTTGGTATCAGGTTATATATATGCTGGCTTCATAAAATGGGTTTGGGAGTGTTCCCTCTTCTTCAATTTTTTGGAAGAGTTTGAGAAGGATTGGTGTTAATTCTTCTTTAAATGTTAGGTAGAATTCACTAGTGAAACCATCTGTTCTGTCTGGGCTTTTCTTTGTTGGAAGTTTACTGATTCAAACTCATTCGTTAGCAGTCTGTTCAGGTTTTCTATTTCTTCATGATTCAATATTGGTAAGTTGTGTGTTTCTATGAATTTATCTAATTTGTGCCTTACAGTACTTTGTGTCTATTGTATCAGTTGTAATGGCTCCTCTTTCATTTCTGATTTTATTTCTTTGTGTTGTCTCTTTTTTTCTTAGTCTAGCTAAAGGTTTGTCTGTCTTTTTAAAAATACACCTCTTAGTTTTGTTGATCTCTGCTATTGCTCTTTTGGCCTCTTTAATTTATTTTTGCTCAATTTTTTATTATTTCCTTCCATCTGCTAACTTTGGGATGAGTTTGTTCTTTTCTAGTTCCTTTGAGGTATGATTTCAATCTTCTTTTAAAAATATTTTTAATTTATTTCAGAGAGAGGAAAAGAGGGAGAGAGGGATAGAAACATCAATGATAAGATAGAATCATTAATCGCCTGCCTCTTGCACACCCCCTACTGAGGATCGAACCTGAAATCCAGGCATGTGCCCTGATCAGAAATCAAGCCCTTTCCTCCTGGTTCATGGGTTGACACTCAACCACTGAGCCACAATGGCCAGGCATGATTTCAATCTTCTTAAGTTTGATATGGCTGTTTTGTGACTCAACATAGGACTATTCGGGAGAATGAGTTCAGGTCTTCCTGGTCAATGGTCTTGCCCCTACCTTGTGCCTTGTTTTCATAATGAACCTCTCATCTTGTTCTTGTTACTGTTTTTTTGTTGTTGTTCTTCTTCTTGTTACTTTTTTTTAGAGGAAATTGTTGTGGGGTCCAACCCTGGGTTCAAAATAAGACCACCGGAGGCTGATGATTGATTAAAAAAAAAAAAGCAGGCAAGGATTTATTGAAAAACTGGCCAGGACGGCTGCGAGAGCACCACACACAGGTGGAGTCCACAGACAGCACTGTTCCAGGTGTAGGTAGTCTTTTTAAAGGTTCAAACCACTGGAATTTTCCTTTGTTCTAAATTCTAAAGGCTGGGAACATTGGAATGTGGTCCTATCTTGCCATAGGAAAACTCAGTGGTTAATCTCTAAAGGTTATCCACAGTTTCTACCCCTGAAGCTACTGAATCAGTGGGAATCCATCTCCTATATTTCTGGTCCCAGGCACAGGAAAACTGCCTTAGCCTCCACATCTCAACCTGGAAGCTGAGGTAACTACCCTATGTTTAAGCAGGTGCAGAAGCCAAAACAGCATGGTTAAAATTCAAACAGCAGTTTTTACCCAAGTATGGTTGCTATTATATTTCATAAATATTTTTTATTTTTAAAAAAATCTTTGAAAGTATTATATATGTCTCTCTTTTCCCCCCATTGCCCTCTTCCACCCAGTTCCTATCCTGCTACAAGCCTTCACCCCCTATTGTCTGTGTCCATAAGTAATGCATATAAATTCTTTGATTAATCTCTCTCCCCTCCCTCACGCTTCCCTCTGATAATTGTCAGTCTGTTCCATGTTTCCATGCCTCTGATTTTATTTTATTCACTAGTTTATTTTGTTCATTAGAATTCTTGTTCGTTTATTTTGATTTTTATATTCTAATTGTTGATAGACATCTATTTATTTCCATTTCTTCTTCTTCTTCTTCTTCTTCTTCTTCTTCTTCTTCTTCTTCTTCTTCTTCTTCTTCTTCTTCTTCTCCTCTTCTTTTTCAAGAATACCTTTCAACATTTCATGTAATACTGGTTTGGTGATGATGAATTCCTTTAGCTTTTTCTTGTCTGTGAAGCTGTTTATTTGACCTTCAATTCTAAATAATAGCTTTGCTGGTTAGAGTAATCTTTGTTGTAGGTCCTTGCTATTCATCACTTTGAATATTTCTTGCCACTCCTGTCTGGCCTGCATAGTTTCTGTTGAGAAATCAGCTGACAGTTATACGGGCACTTTCTTATAGGTAACTAAAGGCTTTTTTTCTTGTTGTTTTAAGATTCTCTTTGTCTTTAGCTGTTGGCATTTTGATTACGATGTATGTTAGTGTAGGCCTCTTTGGGCTCCTCTTGTTTGGGACTCTGCTTCCTGGACTTGTAAGTCTATTCCTTTCACCAGGTAGGGGAAGTTTTCTGTCATTATTTATTCAAATAGGTTTTTAATATTTTGCTCTCTCTCTTCTCCTTCTGGCACCCCCATAATGTATATGTTTGTACACTTGAAGTTGTTCCAGAGGCTCCTTACACTATCTTCATATTTTTAAATTATTTTTTTCTTTTTGCTCTTCTTACTGGGTGCTTTTCCTTCTTCATGTTCCAAATTGTTGATTTGGTTCTCAGAATCCTGTATTCTACTATAGACTCCCTATAAATTATTCTTTATTTCAATTAGTATATGCTTAATTCCTGACTGGTCCTTTTTCGTGTCTTCGGGATTCTCACTAAGATCCTTGAAAGTCTCACTAAGTCCCTTAAAGCTCTCATTAAGATCCTTGAGCAAACATTGGAAACATTGATTTGAACTTAGTATCTAGTAGTTTGCTTTCTTCCATTTCTTTCATTTGTAACATGTTTCTTTGTCTCTGCATTTTGGCTGCTGCCTGTATTTGTTTATGTGTATTAGGTATAGCTGCGATGTCTCCTGGAATTGGTAGAGTGTATTAGGGGTCTTGTAGAGCCCAGTGGCTCAGCCTCTTCAATCACCTGAGCTGGGCACTCTAGATGTGTCCCTGTTGGGGCTGTATGTACTGTGTGGTTGTAGTTGAGCCTTGATTGCTGTTGGCATCACTGGAAGGAATTGACCTTCAGGCCAATTGGCTGTGAGGACCAGCTATGTCTACAGTGAAAGAGCTGCTGTGCAGGAGACACCCCTATAGAGAAGGACTTGCTTCCGTAGGGCTTTGGTGCTCACTGAGTCTGTTCCTTGAGTATGTTGCTTGTGGATGTATAGAGTTGTAATCTGGTATGGTCTGATGCTGACCACTGGGGGCACTGGCTCTAGGGCCTCTGAGGAAGTGCAAAGTCAGCCACTGCCCAGCGCTACCTGATAGGAGCTACAGAGAAGTCTGCAAGTGGCTGCTACTTGTATTGGGCTTGGAAGCGCCCAAGCATGAAGCAAGGCAGCTGGTGCTAGTGCCAGGTCTTGAACCTTTTATTGATAGGTTTGGGGCACACTGATGCCAGCTGCTGCTTGTTTGAGAAATTTTAGGAAAGTCTGAAGCCTGAGCTAGAACAGGCCATTCAAATGGAAAAGCCTTTGCAAACAGCTTGGGTGGAGCTGCAAATTGGATGGGGCAGGTCTCAGGGAATCACCAGGGTGAACAGTATGAATCAGGCTAATGGAGACTCAGATATGGCTGTAAGGGATGGGAGAGGTTCCAGCATAGGAACAACGACCCCCACAAGCACCTCTGTCTGGGAGAAAGTCACCCCCAAGTTCCTGCCCTGATGCCAGACAGTCCGGTTCTTCCCCATATGTCCGTGGGTCCCCCAAAGCCACCTGTCACTAGAGCTCAGAGGGATAGTCTGAGTACATTTGTGTGCTAGCCCTTTAAGAGAAACACCTGGTCAGCGGCCTCTGTCATTCAGTCACAATTCCCACTGGTTCTTACAGTCCGAAGTTACGGGAGCTTCTCTTCTCAGCTCTGAAACCCTGGGCTGGGGGGCTGGTGTGGGGCTGGAACCACTTGCTCCTCATGGGAGGCCTCTGTAGCCGATATGCCTCCCAGATGATAAAAACAGGCACATGTGGGTATCAGACCAGCCCATTTTGCATCTCCATCCCTCCTGCCAGTTTCAACGGGCTTTCTTCTTTTTTACTTCTCTGATTGTAGGACTTCCATTCAGCCAGCTTCCAGATAGTTCTAACTGATGGTGGTTCAGTATTTTAACTGTAATTTTGATGTGGCTATGGGAGGCAGTGGGTACTGGCGTTTACCTACGCTGCCATCTTGGTTCTCCCACCTTGTTCTTTTAAAAAAAAAAAAATTTTTTTTTTATTGATTCTAGAAAGAAAGGGAAAGGGAGAGAGAGAAATATTTATGATGAGAGAATCACTGATCAGTTGCCTCCTGCAATTCCCCCCCCCCCCCCCCCATGGGGATTGAGTCTGCAACCCAGGCATGTGCCCTTGACTGGAATCGAACTAAGGACCCTTCAGTCCATAGGCTGACACTCTATCCACTGAGCCAAACCAGCCAGGGCCCCACCTTGTTCTTAAAGCCCCCTCCTTGGTTCCTGGTAAGTCCTCCTGTGCTGTGTTCCTGCCTTGATTTCTTATCCGGGTGTCAGTGTCTGGCACTAGGGTCCTGCCCTTCAACTCTAGATCTCTTGGCTAGTTTCCTGCTTCTTGCTGCCAGGCCTTCTTTGGGTCCCACTGCTGGCCCGGATCTCTGCCTGTCTGTTACTCTTGACCAGGTTCCTCTGAGACTAGAGGTGGAGCTCTCGCCTCTGGCCTAGAAACCAGAATGAAGGCAGAGCAGGCATCCACCGCACGCAGTGCCTGCCCATTCTCTCTGCTCTGCCCACAGCACTTCATCACTGCCCTGGGGGGGCTCGTGGCCGTGCCGCTCATCCTGGCCAAGGGGCTGTGTCTGCAGCATGACCCCCTCACGCAGAGCTACCTCATCAGCACCATGTTCTTCGTCGCTGGCATCTGCACTCTCCTGCAGGTGCTTTTTGGAGTCAGGTAGGTACTACTTCTCCCTGTGGATTCTGACTTCCACCTGCCAAGGTATCGGGAAAGTGTGCTTGGGTTGCAGCCAGAAAGGAGATTAGGAAGCTGGTGGGGCGTGACAGACGGAGCACAGGGCTAGCAGTCAGAACCTGGGTTCAAGTCCTAGCTCCAACCCGTACATGAGTTCAGATTAGCTCAGGCAAAAGTTTATTCTTTATTAACTTAGAAGATAAAGCAAAGAGAAAGGCAGGGTGCATCATGCATCGGGAATGTGCCCTCGGCAATGGTTCCTGAGACTGAGTGTGGGGCACACAGGGTGGGGAGCAGGAGAAGGAACTGGTGGGAAATGCAACCGGAGGGTCTGAGTGTAGAGTATCAGGTCCTACATATATCAAAACGTATTTGTGAGTGTCCTAAAGTCCTGTTTGGAACAAGATCAGGCTGTGTCCTGGTGAGAGAGGATTGCTGGAGGTTGGCCCTCAGGCTGTGTGCTCCTTGAAGGGCAGTCCTCACAGCAGCCAGAGTGACAGGCCAACCAGGAGGGAGAAGGGTCTGGGCTGGGAACAGCCCTGATTATTGAATACCTTGAACCCATTCCACTCAGGTGATGAAAAGGAGCCTGAAGGTAGAGGTCTCTGGACTGAGGTTCATTTTTGAAGGCACAAGGGAATCTTGCAACCGAGATGTTAAGCAGTGCCTCTCTTGGTGGGAGAAGGTGGCGGCGTGAGCTGTGCTCTGGTTTTGGGGAAGATCTGGGACCCGGGTAGACAGTGGCATCCACTGAGCATGTGTGCTGAGCTCTGTGCTGTTTCCAGATTATTTCCCAGAGCCTGACGCTCTGCTCCTGGGCTTGTATCTCCAAGAGGGGGGTTAGGTCGGCTTGTCTTTCCCCTTCCCTCTCCTACCTGTCGAGAGGTTTGTCAGGGCTCGTGGGTCTGAGTGGAGGTGTGGCAGGAACTCCCTAGGTAGGGAGAACAGCAGGCGTCATGTGTTGCCTCCAGCCCTAGCTAGTTCTGGGGATGAAAAGGCCCCTCATTGGGGCAGTGACAGGCCAGTGCTAAAGAATTGGGGGGTGACTGTGTGCTTCCCCCCCTCCAGGCTGCCCATTCTCCAGGGAGGGACGTTTACCTTTGTGGCACCCTCCCTGGCCATGCTCTCCCTTCCCACCTGGAAGTGTCCTGAATGGACACTCAATGCCAGCCAGGTGAACACCAGCTCTCCTGAATTCACCGAGGAATGGCAGATGAGGATCCGAGAGGTAACGGGACACGAGGAGGGAGGGGTTGGGGGGCGGTGTGTGGCATGGAGGGGTACTCAGTGGGGGTTACTGTGTTGATTCATTTGTTCAACATTCATTATTCAGTTCACCTCTCGGCAAAGGCCGGGGCATTCAGAGACTGCTGTCGCTAAGTTAGACAAGGAGGGCCTCATGTCCTAGCGTGTGGCTGTGCAGGCCAGGGTGGGAGGGAGAGACAAAAATATCCCAGTAAGGAAGTAAAAAGGGGGGATTTCAGGGAGTCATACGTGTAATGAAGAAAATCAAGCAGGGTGATGAGCAAGAGAGGGATTGGGGCTGCCGGGCAGAAAAGGTGGAGAGAGACTGAAGATGCATCATATGTCACAAATTTCAAGGCGGAAGAGCGCAAGCATTTTCCTCGCCAGTCCCAGGAGGCAGAGCAGGCAGCGGGCAGTACTCTTGTCTTATAGTTACTCATCAGATGTCACTGTTGATGCCAAGAGTTGTGCTAAGTGCAAGGAAGCAAAGAGGAGAGAGACACATCACAGTGCTGATGAGGAGGAGGGGGAGGATGGGGATGATGGTGATGATGATGATTGTGATGATGATGATGGTGATGGTGGTGATGGTGTGATGATAGTAGATAGTAGCAGCAGGTCATTGTTACTATGCACGTAGAGTTTTCCCACATTCTGCTACGAGTGTTTCATGGATGCACAAGTGCCATATTGACCATATCCCCAGGAGCCTCAGATTAAGGGGAAAACCAATGTGCAAGACCAGGTGTCTGCTAGTGGGGACTGGCTGCTCCGTCTGCCCACTTTGGATGGTTGTGCCATGTGCTTCTCTATGTAAGACCTGCCCCTGCTCGATCTGGGTGTCCATCAGGGGAAAGGAGCTGCTGGCCTGGGCGTGAGCTCGGAAGCTCAGCCAAGCTCCAGGGGGGCTTCTCTAAGCAATAGCTACTCAGGACTCTTGGCAGAGAGTTCAGTCCCACCCCCAGGGGCAGGAAACTAGGTAGTTTCCCCATCTCCACATCCTCACCTGAGGGCTGGCGGGAGGGGTGCTATATAAGACAATAAAGTAAGGTGACCAGATCGTCCAGGAGTTGGCGGGACAGTCCTGATTTCTAACAATTTTTCCCACGTCCCATGGCATTTTTAAAAAGTCCCGATTTTTGGAAAGAATCTTTCCAATGTTAACAATCTTTCCAAAAATCGGGACTTTTTAAAAAAATAATATATTTTATTGATTTTTTACAGAGAGGAAAGGAGAGAGATAGAGAGCTAGAAACGTCAATGAGAAAGAAACATTGACCAGCTGCCTCTTGCACACCCCCTACCGGGGATGTGCCCGCAACCAAGGTACATGCCCTTGACCGGAATCGAACCTGGGACCTTTCAGTCCGCAGACCGACGCTCTGCCACTGAGCCAAACCAGCTTTGGCAAATTGGGACTTTTTTTTTAAAACACCGCGGGACGCGGGAAAAATTGTTAGAAATCAGAACTGTCCCGCCAACACCTGGACAATCTGGTCACCTTAGAATAAAGGTCACTTCAGACATCCGGGAAACCCAACCATCTCCCTCCCCGTGGACCTGAACACCCTGCCTGGAGCTGGGCCAGGGGTCACCCCCAGCAGAGCAGGGGCAGGCTCCCCCAAGCACCCCACGATCATGGGGCTCCAGCACAAAGTCTGTTCAGGCCTGAATGTGACCCCACGAATTGCCCCACTTACTGCAGACTCACTAGACCTGAACCAGAGACGTTCCTGAGCTGAGCAGTCTGTTCCCTAGATATCCCTGGGAGCCAGGCCAGGAAGCCCTACGCCAGCGGGGTCCATCTTGCAGCTCACCCCCATCCATGTTCAGTACTCCGCCGAGCCTCATGGCTGCATCTGTGGAAACATCCCCTGTATTATCCGAAGCATAAAGGAAGAGGGACATCAGAAGAGGAACATGGTACAAGATTCCTGTTCTCACCCATATTTGACCAATGAGAGGGAATAGACACTATGGCTTATTCCCACACTGCCTCCCAGTGTTCAATACAACGAGCCCAACCCCGAGTCCCATCTCCGGCACGTTAGCTCCATCTGCTGGCCCCACGCTTTTCACCGGGGCTATCAACCAGATGCTGTCACACGTTTCAACCTCCTTTTATGAGTTGTCTGATACAGTGGTCGGCAAACTCATTAGTCAGCAGAGCCAAATATCAACAGTACGACGATTGAAGTTTCTTTGGGAGCCGAAAACCGACTTCTGCGCATGGGCCACGGAGTTTCAATCGCACTGTTCGTGCGCCCACGCATGTTACTTTGTGGAAGAGCCACGCTCAAGGGGCCAAAGAGCCACACATGGCTCCCGAGTCGCGGTTTGCCGACCACTGCTTTAGGGAAATAAATACTTTCGAAAGCTACTTCCTGAGAAGGTTCGTATTAAGTGAAAATGTCCGTCAGGTACTTCAGAACTAGAGAGAGGAGCGAGCTCAGCGTTCTCCTTCCCTCTGTGCCTCTGGGGTCCCGCTTTGCTCTGCACTGCCTCTGAACGCAGCACCCAGGGGTGCCAGCTGTGGCAGAGGCCGGGCTGGGCTGGGCTGGGGCCCGCTGTCTGCTGCAGGCTCCCAGATGCCTGAGCTGCCCGCTCTGCAGTTGCAGGGCGTCATCATGGCCGCTTCCTGCGTCCAGATGTTTGTGGGCTTCTCCGGACTCGTTGGCTACCTCATGCGCTTCATTGGCCCCTTGACCATTGCTCCGACCATCTCCCTGATGGCCCTGCCCCTCTTCGACTCTGCAGGCAACGATGCCGGAGCCCACTGGGGGATCGCCGCCATGTAAGTCCTCTCCGGGAGGGAGAGCCGTCTGGGTACTCCTTGGTGGAAGATTACTCAGCAAGAAAACCCAGAGTCCTGGATATTGGCCAACTCTGTGCTTTACAAATACTCCCAAGAACATTATAATGCCTTAAAAAGCAGTGAGATTGCTGCTTATAATTTACTAGTGGCCGGGTGCACAGATTCGTGCACATTGAAAGGAAATGAATTAGAAAGTGGCTGATGGGGTGGGACTGGGCAAGACGGGCTGGCCACACCCTGGAGCCAACCTCCCATGGTCCCTCCCTGGCCGGCTGCACCTGGGCCCCGTGGCTCAAAGGGCGTCTTCAGGGTGAGCGGCGTCCCTCTGGCATATGGGGTCCCTTGGCCCACACACACACACACACACACACACACACACACACATATACATATATTTTTATTTAGTAAATACTTTTATTTACTATGTCGTTAGTACACACAGACTTCGTGTGGGTTCACAGTAAGTTGACACCACCAGTTTCCTGCCTACCAGGATTTCATTGAGCAACTGTAAACCTCTGGCACCTGGGAAAAAAGCAAAGACATGGCCTCCTATTACTGGGTGGGAGAGAGAAGACTGACACCGGGAGACAGTGATGAGAGGGAGAATGCCAGGCATGCTCAGAGAGGGGTGGTGACACCAGTTGGGGCATCAGGACAGCGTCCTGGACAGAGAGGCCCCCAGCATGCAAACAGAGCTCTGCAGGGACTTGAGGATGACACTGGACGCTCTCGTTCACTCTGCCCCTGTAGTCTGACCACAGCACCCGCAGAATGACCTGGGAGAGAAGGCGGTCTCAGACCCTGGCCTTGTGGCTCTAGCTGATGGATCTGCTCAGCTGCCAGGGACTGCTACCCCTGCCCCCTCTTCCAAGTAGTTCTCTGCAGCCACCAGCCGCGTCTGAAAGGGAACAGCCAGCAGGATGGTAGGACGCTGCCTGGGCTGCAGGATGCTCCCCTGGCGGCTCAGCATCCTGGGCCCTCGCGCAGGGCGGCCCTGGCTGCCAGTTGGGTGTGGCATGTTTCTGTTTCAGGACCATCTTCCTCATCGTGCTGTTTTCTCAGTACCTGAAGCACATCGCGGTGCCCGTGCCCCTGTATGGACGACAGAAGAAGTGTCACATGTCCAGCGTGCGCCTGTTCCAGCTCTTCCCTGTAAGTAGGACTGCCCATCTCTTCCATTCTTAGTTGAGAGTGAGAGGCCGTGTCTTGTACTCCCAGATGGCCCCCAAATCAAATGCTCCCCCTCCTGCAGTGGCCTCCCCTCCATGACCTTCCTTAATCCGCTTGTGATCTGTGGGAACACTATCTGGCCGTTGGGGCAATGCCATCCCAGGTCTTCCCTCAGGGCTCCTCTCTCAGGAGCAGAGAACCCTGCCCTGGGTGCCGCTCTGGGCACCGGGGAGGGACAGCCTCCTCATGTTCCCGGGCCACTCACAGCCAGACACTGGGGAGACGGCCAGGCTCACGGCCAATGATATGAAACTCGGGGACAAGATGCTTAGACCAGATTCTTTCTTGTTGGGCTCGTGGGTAATTCAAGTGCCTGGTGACGATGCCAGCATCTCCCTCTGCAGAGCCTTCTCTGCTGAGTGAGCACCACACTGTCAAGTACATGCAGCTGTCAATCATGCAACTGATGTGTGTTACCCGAGAACCACTGCTGCCAAGTAACTGCAGCTTGGCAGCTCCACTTCCCACTGTAAGAAGATACCTTCACAAGGACCTCGTTGGTCCTTCAACGCCCCTGTAGGCCAGTGGTTCCAAAATGTATGAGTCACCTGAAATGAAAAATCCAATATCTGAGGACCAGCTGTAAAAACTCCTGCTTCAGACTCCACAGAATAGGGATTGTACCTCCATTGCAAAGATGGGCATGCTGAGGCTCAAAGGATTTCGATCCAAGGTCATGTGACCAGCAAACAGCAGAAAGGGAGACAGACTGTAATAAGTGCCCACGTTAGTAGACATTCTGCCTGTTAGAACCAAGGGCTCCCCGTTGTTTATTTTCTACGCTCGGCTCTGTTGACGTGCTGATTGTCCACAGCACAGCTGACTCCTGTTGTCCCTGGAAGGGCCTTCGGGGAGGGGTGGCGAGGGTGGGGAGAGGTGGTGAGGGCAGGGGTGGAGGGTGGGCCTTCAGTGGTGAAGGCGCTTCCTTCCTCTGACAGGTGCTGCTGGCGCTCTGCATCTCCTGGCTCCTGTGCTTCGTGCTCACGGAGACCAACACCCTCCCCTCGGCCCCCACGGCCTACGGGTACCTGGCCCGCACAGACACCAAAGGCCACGTCCTGAGCCAGGCCCCTTGGTTTCGCTTCCCTTACCCAGGTAATGAAGAGAGGGGGGCCCTCTGGCCCGGGGTACGTTTCCCAGGGCTGCCCGGCGGACTAGGGCACAGGATGGAGAGATGAATGGGGTTGCAGGTGGGTTTTCCTTAGGGAATCTGACAATGAGGGCAGGCCTTGGGGAGTCCGTGTCAGATCCCAAAGAGAAGAAGGCGACCCCTGGGTTGTCCTAAGAATCCTATGGGGGACAGAGAATAGCACCCCGTCCAAAGACGAGAATGTCGGGTGCTGGGTATAACCAGACGAAGGCTGCTGACGATGGCTCCTGGGGCAGGTGGGGTTCCTAAGTCTGTCACGCAATGAATTAATCCCCTCTTTCTACTGTGACAAATTAGCACAAACTTAGTGGCTTCAAACAACCCCTATTTATTATTTTGTTGCTGTTCAAGAGGCTCCCACTCCAGGCCTCCCTCTGACCTGTGAGCCTGGGAGAGGGGAGAGGACAGAGAGGCCTCCACCCCCCAGCCAGACCCGTGGGTCTCCTCTCGCATTCGCTAGATCCCACACAAGGGAGGCCTGGGGCTGAATGAGAACAAGTTCAAGGCCATCCCTTAGCCCAGTGGTCGGCAAACTCATTAGTCAACAGAGCCAAATATCAATGGTACAACGGCTGAAATTTCTTTGGAGAGCCACATTTTTTAAACTTCAACTTCTTCTAACGCCTCTTCTTCAAAATAGACTCGCCCAGGCCGTGGTATTTTGTGGAAGAGCCACACTCACGGAGCCAAAGAGCCGCATGTGGCTCTCGAGCCGCAGTTTGCCGACCACTGCCTTAGCCCCTTCTGGTCTCCTTTCTTGGCTCAGGATGTATGAAGAATACATCCTGATGAGAGTCCTACTCTGCCCTGGCCAGAGTAAGACTCTCATCTTCCAAATGCTTCGAGGCCTTTCTGGAGAGACACTCCATTGCTGGCCTCTTTTGTGCACAGGGACCTCAAGGTCAGCGTGCCTGCCCCGCCTCCAGGAGAAAGGGTAGGGCAGGAGTCCGAGCCAAAGCTTCCGGACTGTTGTGGGGTTCAAGACACGCTGCCGGGTCTTTAAAACCTTTCAGGGACCCCTCCGGCAAAGACATTACTGGGGTTCAGCATCCCTGTTATCTTCTGAGTTAACATTCCCTCTGCATTGCATTTCCAGGACAGTGGGGTCTCCCCACCATCAGCCTGGCTGGGGTCTTTGGGTTCATCGCCGGGGTGATCGCCTCCGTGGTGGAATCAGTAGGCGATTATTATGCCTGTGCCCGGCTGGTGGGGGCCCCACCCCCTCCAAAGCATGCCATCAACCGCGGCATTGGCATTGAGGGCCTCGGCTGTCTGCTGGCAGGGGCCTGGGGCACAGGGAACGGCACCACCTCCTACAGTGAGAACGTCGGGGCACTGGGTATCACCAAGGTAAGGCTGCTGACGGTGGCTCCTGGGGGCAGGTGGGGTATCTAACTCTGTCACTCAATGTATCTGTCACCTGCTGCTGCTATAACAAATGAACACAAACACAGTGATTACAAACAACCCACATTTATTTGACTGATCCGGAGGTCGAAAGTCTGACATGGGTCTTGTGGAGAGCGGCTACAGTGTTTGGACAGGTTCAAGCTTTGGACTAATGAAAGGGCACAGTCCTCTCATGGCAAAGTCACGTGCAAGTCCCAGCTTGGAGGGCAGATCCTCCCAGCGTAATGATAGCCAGAGGTTATAGCTGTGAGCTTGATAGCCAGAGGTTATAGCTGTGAGCTTGAACCTATGGTCCGAACACCTGGCCCCATGCGTCTGAGTGATGTGGGCTTGAGAGAGTTCAGGGGCACGTAACTGAGTAGATTTGAAACCCATGAAAACGTTGTAACCACGCCCTTACTTTGCCTCGTGAAATCTGGCTGTAAAATAAAGAGACAGCTTACAGGCAGTGGCACCGTCACTCCATCAGAGAGGGCGGCATCCCACCTTGATCCAGCTTTCTTCTCTTGTCTGTCTTTTCTCAATCCTTCACCGCCCCCACTCAGGTTCACCCCTGGCCGTGCTGGTGCGGCTCAGGGTCTCGTGGGGCTGAGATAAAGGTGTTGGCAGCGCTGTGTTCCTTCCTGGAGGCTCCAGAGGAGAATCCATCTCCTGGCTTTTGCCCTCACCTAGAGGCCCCTCACACGCCTGGGCTACGGTTCCCCATCTCCACCGTCCAGGCCAGCAATGCTGCCTCCGTCCGGCCTCTCTTCCGCAGTCACACATCCCTCCAACCACAGCCAGGAAAGGTCCTCTGCTTATAAGGACCCGGGCGATTAGATCAGGCCTCCCTGCGTCACTCGGGGCTCTCTCTAGCTCAAAACCTCCATCTTCATCACATCTGCAGAGTCCCCTTTGCCCTGCAAGGTGACATAGTCACAGGTTTGGGGATCAGGACATGATTCTTCAAAGGACCATCCTTCCGCTTACCACGCTTGCCCTTCCTGGTGGTGGCCATTCTGCAGGCAGAAAGCCTGTCCTGACTCCCGTGGAAGGCAGGGGCTTTGGGAACCCTGGAGAAGGGCCTTACTTTCTGAAACTTGGGTGGGAGGCCACTTCCCTCTGGCCCAGCCTAGGTGAGGCCTCCAGACCCCAATATCCAGCTGCCACCTGGCTACACTCCCATCTTTCCCAAACCCCGGGTGAGAGCAGAGGGGGGCCGCTTTGGGGTTAGGTGCTGGGGCTGCTGTGAGCCCCTGGGAGGGAGAATTGTTTGAGGGGCCGGGAGCAGGGTGGAGGCCCCTGTGGCGTGTCGCCCAGATGGTGCTGAGTGCCTCCTCCCATCTTGGATGCCTCAGGTGGGGAGCAGGATGGTGATTGTCACCTCGGGCTGCGTGCTGCTCCTGATGGGTGTCTTCGGGAAGATCGGGGCTGCGTTTGCCACCATCCCGGCCCCCGTGATCGGAGGCATGTTCATCGTGATGTTCGGGATCATCACCGCCGTGGGGATCTCCAATCTGCAGGTGAGCCGGGTGCCCTGGGGAAAGCAGCGGCATTGCCCATCCTAGATGGAGCCCACGGGATTGAGATGAACGGAGCAGGGCCAGGGAAGGGGAGGGAAGGCCAGTCACCACGCTGGCCCCCAATGGAAGAAAGAAACAGAAGCACCCCAAACCAGAAATTGTATCAGTTTGAACTGGATTACCCAAACCCGTGCTTGGCAAACTGCGGCTCGAGAGCCACATGCAGTTCTTTGGCTCCTTGAGTGTGGCTCTTCCACAAAATACCACGGCCTGGGCGAGTCCATTTTGGAGAAGTGGCATTAGAAGAAGTTTAAATTTTAAAAATGTGGCTCTCCAAAGAAATTTCAATTGTTGTACTGTTGATAGTTGGCTCTGTTGACTAATGAGTGTGCCGAGCACTGACCCAAACCACTGGGCTCCCAAGGTCCAGTGGGAATTGGAGCTTGGCTTGCCCACAGAGAGCATGTGTTGCTGAGGTCGGCCTCTGCCCCCATAGGAGGCGGTGGGAGGGAGGGGCACTCAGAGGGGTGTCAGCTGGGTGTGCAGCAGCAGCTCAGGGTGGCCGGGGCCTCTCTCCCAACAGCACGTGGACATGAACTCATCCAGGAACCTCTTTGTCTTTGGCTTCTCCATCTTCTGTGGGCTCACCATTCCCAACTGGGTGAACAAGAACTCGGACCAGCTCCAGACAGGTGACTCACCAGCCTCGGGACTGTGATCACTCCCGGGGCAGGGCTGGGGGGCCCTCGAGTCCTGGGAATGCTCATCACTTCTGTCTCCACTCCAGGGATTCTCCAGCTGGACCAGGTCATCCAGGTGCTGCTGACCACGGGCATGTTTGTTGGCGGCTTCCTGGCCTTTCTACTGGACAACACCATCCCTGGTAGGGCTCCCTTCGCGCTGCAGGCTAGCTGTTTGGGTAGGTGGCCAGCATCAGGGCCACTCGCCGTGCTTCTCCAGCACTGATTGCCCAGTCAGGCTGGCCACGGTCTGCATGGGCCTTGGTCTCGGGGAGCAGGTGTGGTGCGGGGGAAGGGTGTATGGGTCTGTATTAGCTTTCTCAGGGGCTTAAACCACCAAACTGTATTTTCTCACAGTCTGGAGCCTGGAAATCCACGGACCAGGTGTTGGCAGGGTTGGTTTCTCCTGAGGCCTCTCTCCTAGGCTTGCAAACGGTTGCCTTCTCACTGTGCCCTCACTTGCTCTTTCCTCTGGGGGTGTGCATCCCCGGGGTCTCTCTGTGTGTCCTAGGCTCCTTTTCTTATAAAGACACCCATCAGGTTAGGTTAGGGCCCACCCCAAAACCCTCCTCTTTACCTTAGGCACCTCTCTCTCTCTCTTTTTTTTTTTTTTTTTTTTTTTTTTAATATATATTTTATTGATTTTTTACAGAGAGGAAGAGAGAGGGATAGAAAGTCAGAAACATTGATGAGAGAAACATCGACCAGCTGCCTCTTGTACACCCCCTACTGGGGATGTGCCCACAACCAAGGTACATGCCCTTAACCGGAATCGAACCCGGGGCATATGAGTCCGCAGGCCGACGCTCTATCCACTGAGCCAAACCGGTCTCAGCCCTTAGGCATCTCTTAAAAGCTCCTATCTCCAAATACAATCATTTTGTAAGGTACAGGGATTAGGGTTCCAACATATTTTTCGGGGGACACAATTCAGCCCATCACAGGGCCCTATGGTGATAAATACACCAGAAGCGAAAAGAAAAAGACATAGGCCCTTCTCTCTTAGAGCCTACAGTAGTTGACGAGGGAGACAACGCAGGTATTCATTCATTCATTTATTCATTCACTCACTGATATTTATCCTATATAATAAAAGGGTAATATGCAAATTGACCCTAACAGTGGAATGACCGGTTGCTATGACTTGCACTGGCCACTAGGGGGCAGATGCTCAACGCAGGAGCTGCCCCCTTGTGGTCAGTACAGGTTTCTGGAAGGCAGGGGGAGGTTGCTCAGCTACAAGCCGGGCTGATGGCTGCAAGTGCAGTGGTGGTGGTGGAAGCCTCTCCTGCCTCCTCGGCTCTAAGGATATCTGACTGTGGCTTAGGCCTGCAGTTGGACATCCCCTGAGAGCTCCTGTCTGCTAGAGGGATGTCTTCAGGGAGCAGGCCTAAGCTGGCGGGTGGACATCCCCCAAGGGGTCCCAGACTCTGAGAGAGTGCAGGCAGGTTTGAGGGACCTCCCCCCCCCAAGTGCACAAATTTTCATGCACCAGGCCTCTAGTGTATATATATAAAAGCCTAAGCCACTGGGTGGGCTAACCAGCCAGTAGCTATGATGCACACTGACCACCAGGAGCCAGACGCTCAATCCAGGAGCTGCTGAGCGACAGCAACTTTTCAGAGTGCCCTCTCGCACTCCAGGCCCCCTTAGGGGATGCTGGACTCCTGGTTTCAGCCTGACCCTCACAGGCTAGACTGAGGGACCCCACTGGTGCACAAATCCATGCACCAGGCCTCTAGTTTTTAACAGAAACCCCTTGAGCACTTATGTTCCAGGTGCCCTGAACAGGCATACCCTGTTTTATTGTACTTCACTTTACTGCGCTTCACAGATATTATGTTGTGTGTGTGTTTTAACAAGCTTCAGCAGCAAAAATATTATGACTCGCTTTATTACAATACTTACTTCTTTCTGGTGGTCTGGAACTGAGAATATTAGAGACCAGAAAGACATGCCCCTGCCTTCCAGAAACCCACAGACTACTGTGGGAGAGAGTCAAGAAAGCAAGCACTTGCCATCCGAGGTAGTAAGTGTGATGATGAGCCAGTTGGGTCTCTAAGTGCCGAGGGTGTGGAAGGCTGAGAGAGCAGAGCCACTATCATCGATGGCTTCCCCTGCTCCCTTATTTTCTTTAAAAAAATATATTTTCATTGGTTTCAGAGAGGAAGAAAGAGAGAGAGAACGAGAGAGAGAGAGAGAGAGAGAGAGAGAGAGAGAGAGAGAGAGAGAGAGAGAGATCAATGATGAGAATCATTGACCAGCTGCCTCCTGCACACCCCACCCTGGGGTTAAGCTGCAACCTGGGCATGTGTCCTGGCTGGGAATCAAACTGTGACCACCCGGTCCATAGGTTGATGATGTTCAACTGGCTGGGCCCACATGCTTCCTTCTTGACCCTCCCACAGCCTCTTGCAAAGACCTCTAAGATAGCATCAGCTTCTATTCTTTTCCGCATTCCTTTCTCCTCCACATGTAGGATGTGTCTGTCTGGCTGCATTCCAGAAACATTAGCATGTGGAAAGCCAGCCCCAATGAAGGACAGTGGTTCACAGAAGGTCCTGCCCGGAGCTCTGTACTGTCAGCCCCGCCTGGGGGCTCAGGGTTACCCCAGGAGTCAGATTGAGCTGTGTGATTCCTCTGGTGGGCTTGGCGGCTCTGTTGGCAGGAGGAGACCTCATGAGTGCCCGCAGGGGGCACCAGAGGCGCCTTCCAGCTCGCTTCCGCCCACCCCTCCCTGGGCCCAGTCTTGACTGCTCCCTGTCTCCTCGCAGGAGGTCTGGAGGAGCGCGGCTTCCGGGCATGGGATCAAGCCCAGGGGACGGAGGAGACTGCGAGGGTCCTGGAGATCTACGGCCTCCCCTGTGGGATTGGCACCACGTGCTGCACTTCCTCCTGCACCCAGTTCCTCCCCTTCTGGCCCAGCCGGGAGCCTGGGGGGACAGGGGAGGTGGGAGTGAGTCAGCTCACACTCTGCTCCCAGGATTCCTCAAGAGAGCGCCCTAAGGGTGCCATAGAGACCAGGATGTGAGGCTGTCTCTTCTGAGGCACGTCCCCAAGCCCTCTCCACCCCCTCCCTAACCCCGAAGGTGCTGATCTCCCCATGCAAGCATGGGTAGGGACCACACCCTCCTGAGCACCCGCAGCATCCTGTGCACTGTGGCAGCGGAATACACAGCGCTGTGACCTGGCACTCCGTCCCCGCGGCCTGGCCTCAGGCTGCATCCTCCCCCTGGCTCCAGCCCAGCGGGCTGTCATGGAAACCAGTGTAGCCTGATGCCCATTCCCATGGGAACTCCCTCAGCCCATATGTTCTCAGGAAGTGTTGATGCCTTGGGAGAAGAGGCCTGGGGTGGAGCCGGGGATGGAGATGGTGAGATGGGGCTGTTGGCTGAAAGAACAGGTCTCTTCCCAAAGAGGCAGGTGGCCCTGCTGGCCCCTCCTGGCCCTTCCCTCTGTGCCCCTGCAGTTTGCAAATAGGTGCCAACAAGCTGCAGCCCTGCACCCGCAGTGGGAGTCCTTGGGGTTGCCTCCTGCATCCCAGGATGGTGAGCGGTGAGAGCTGGGCTGCGGAGCGGACAGGAGATGAAACAGCCTTCAGCGGAGGGGAGCTGCTGTTGCTAAGATGTGTAAACTGTAAAGAGCCAGGTAGCCGAAACCGGTTTGGCTCAGTGGGTAGAGCGTCAGCCTGCGGACTGCAAGGTCCCAGGTTCGATTCCTTCCGGTCAAGGGCATGTACCTTGGTTGCTGGCACATCCCCGGTGGGGGATGTGCACGAGGCAGCTGATCGATGTTTCTCTGTCATCGATGTTTCTAACTCTCTATCCCTCTCTCTTCCTCTCTGTAAAAAATCAATTAAAAAAAAAAAAAAAAAAGAGAGCCAGGCAAACCCATCCCCATTCTCTCTGCACATTCGGTGGGTTAGTCAGGGTTCTCTAGAGAAAACAAGTCAATAGGATTGTGTGTATCTTCACATACATATATTCACTTGTCTACATACATATATGTTCACACACATATATACACGTGTTAGTAGATATGTAGTCTATATGCACACATGTGCTGTACACACGAGAGGGGGGGGGGAGATAGAGAGGATGAGAGTGTCTTTAAGCTAAGGGCTCCTGGATTGCGGAGGCTGGCAAGTCCAAAGTCTACGGGGCAGACCCGTCGGCTGGGGAGAGTGGCAGCCTGATCTCAGAGGGCTGTCCTTGGCAGAACTCCTTTCCTTACGGCTTTTTTTTGGTCTAGGCGATCCTTCAACTGATTAGCCAAGGTCTACCACATTCAGGGGCGTGGCCTGCTTTACTCCAGGTCTACTGATTTAAATGTTAATCTCATCAAAAATACCCTCAGAGCCAGAACCGGTTTGGCTCAGTGGATAGAGCGTCGGCCTGTGGACTGAAGGGTCCCGGGTTCGATTCGGGTCAAGGGCATGGACCTTGGTTGTGGGCACATCCCCAGTCGGGGGTGTGCAAGAGGCAGCTGATCCATGATTCTCTCTCATCGATGTTTCTAACTCTATCCCTCTCTCTTCCTCTCTGTAAAAAATCAATAAAAATATATATATTTTTTTAAATTATTTTTTTAAAAATACCCTTATAGAAACATCTAGAATAACGTTTGACCAACTGTCACCTCCAGTGCACATGCCCACTCTCTGTCCTGGAGCCTCGCTGGAAAGCGCTGGAGTCTGGCTGGGCTCCGTTCAGGGGTCTTTATCGCCAGAAGAAGCAGGTGTCGCTGGCGCCACCCTGCCTGATGTCCTGTAGTCCTGGTTCGGGGCCCGCACTTTTCCCAGGCTCCCAGAGAATGCAGGGTGAACAGGTGGTGGTCTCCAGAACAACAACCTGAACCCAGAGTGCACTCCACAGACGGGTGCTGCCTGTCCCTCCCTGGGATGGCCCAGGGCCTGCGCCTCAGCCGCGCCTGGCTCCACCCAGCCCAGAGGAGCCCGGGGAGCAGGTGTGTGCCCTGCAGGACCAAACAACCCTGAGAGACCAACACAGAGCCACGCTGCTCTTAATGCTTTATAATAATAAAAAACGGAAACCATCAACATGCTTCTGGGAGAGTCCATCCAAAATATCCCAGAAGGCCAAGGCGGGTGCAGCGGGCAAACTTTGAAACAGGCCACTTCATTCATTGCCTCCCCTGCCAGCCCTTCTGCACTACAGATCTTCGTCATCAAAGGTCTCCATGCACTGCAACATCAACATCGCATCGTCCACGGGAAGCTCTGGTTCCTGCAACACAGGATGAAGAGGATTGGTATTTAAGGGTTCTTGGCTCTGGGTGACAGCCAGAGCCACCTCCACCGCAGGAGTGCCCCTCTCCCTCAGTCTCTACCCACATCTTTTCAGCTGCATCTTCACCTCCAGCTTACGGCCAGGAAGTAAGGGCAGTGGGAGGAAGGTCCCATGTCCATGTTACTCTTTGACCACAATACAGGCTTCCCCTGGATGCCGCAGAACTGGCTGCTTTCCTATCCTGGGGAATTGCAGGGGCCCAGAAGAAAGGGGACTTTGAATTACACCGTGATGTATCTACCAATGGAACACCATGCAGCTGTTTCAAAAAAAAAAAAAAAAAGTGAATGCAATCGCTCTCTATCTGTGGGACATATTAATTTAAAAGGGAAAGAACGCCCTGACTAGTGTAGCTCAATTGGTTGAGCATCGTCCCATGGACCAAAAGGTTGTTGGTTCAATTCCTGGGTTTCGGACTCAACCCCCAGTGCAGGGCATGCAGGAGGCAATTAGTGTTTGATGTCTCTCTCTCACATTGCTGTTTCTCTTTCTTCCTCTTCCTCTCTCTCTAGAAAATAATTTTTTTTTTTTAAAAAAAGGACAAGATACAAAGCAATGTGCACAGGAGATTACCATTTGTGTTTGAAAGAATCCATACACATTGGTTGGCTGTTCAAAAAACAGGTCATGGTGGCTGCCTTTGAGGCAGAGACTGGGTAGTAACCAAGGGGGCTGGTAGGAAAGACGCTGTTTTCCTTGTTGCCTTCTAGTAACTTGAACTTAAACATGGGTGAGCTGTTAGGAGGTCATTTTTTTTTTTTTTCAAGAAGCAGCACTACCGTGTTTCCCCCAAAATAAGACATCCTCCGAAAATAAGACCTGCTTACAGGTTTCCTTCTGAGTGAAATAGAAGGCATCCCCCCGAAAATAAGGCCCCCCTAAGCTAAACATGAGAGATTTGGTCCACTGATTCTGAAAAAAAAAAAAAAAAAAATGGAGTCACAAGAAATTCACCAGGAAATTCAGGAATTGGATTGTTATGATGATGTTCCAGAAGATGATGACATGATTGTCATTGAATAAATGAGTAAATTCTTGATACTGTAGGATTCACAGTTTGTCTGGTTTGTGTTGACAACTACCGCACTACCATACCGTATACGGGTAATAAATTTCCTTCATTTTCATTTAACAATAAATGTGTACCATATTCTTCTTCATGGAAAAATAAGACATCCCCTGAAAATAAGACCTAGTGCATCTTTGGGAGCAAAAATTAATATAAGACACTGTCTTATTTTGGGGGAAACAGGGTATGTTTGGTTAGCAAGAGTTTCTCATTCCCTTTACAAGGACCCCAGCCAACCTCTCCTGGTACCTGGTTGCTACATCAAGGTCTGCCCTAAAAGGCATTCCTCCCTCTCCCCTCAGTTTCCCCAACATCTTCCACCCCACAGGCTGCCTTAGGCTGAAGTCAAGCATCCATGGAACAGGTCAAAGAGAATGAAAGAGCGTCCCTAGGAATTCCTAAATGTCCTGTGACTCCTTGACTCCTTCGCCAAGAGGCAGAGCTGTTTCCCCGTCTAGACCCAGGGCAATATTCGCTGTCAGCTTTGGGAAGATGTTCCTTTCTGGCTGTGCAACTTATCCTATATAATAAAAGGCTTGCCAAAATTGGTTTGGCTCAGTGGATAGAGCTTCAGTCTGTGGACTGAAGGGTCCCAGGTTCGATTCGGGCAAGGGCATGTACCTTGGTTGCTGATCGATGATTCTGGTCAAGGGCATATATAATACCTTGGCAGCTGGTCGATAATTCTCTCTCATCGATGTTTCTAACTCTCTATCCCTCTCTCTTCCTCTCTGTGAAAAATCAATAAAAATATTTTTTAAAAAAAAGATAAAGCATGGATGTTAAAACTATTTCTTAAAAAAAAAAAAAAAAAGGCTAATATGCAAATTGACCGAACTAAGGAATGACTGGTGCCCTGACCACCGGGGGCAGATACTCAGCACAGGAGCTGCCCCCTGGTATTCAGTGTGCTCCCTCAGAGGGAGCACCACTCAGCCTTGTGGTGTGATTGGGTGAGATCTAGCATCCCCTCAAGGGACCTGGATCCTGAGGGGGAAGGGGCCTCCCACTCGGCACTGTCCTACCTGCTTCTCCTGAGGGTGAGCACCGCAGAGGTCTTTGAAGAAGTCGACGATCTGCGTGTAGAGCTGAAACTTTTCCTCTGAGTTCTCTGGGTTGCAGTTGGCAAACATGGGACTGACGACAGAGAAGGAAACAGCCCGTGTTTGGAATCCTACTCTTTGACCTCTGCTTGGACCCGCTACAGAACTTGGATGATGATGTGAACCAAGCACTTTCAAACACCCAGCTGAGTCCTCGGAGAGCCAAGAGTCCTTCTCGCAAGGTTTGCCTCGCCTCAGCTCAATGTCACGTCTGCAACGCACCGGGAAAGTGAGACAATAGGGGGACGGGCTCCTGGGTCCTAATTTAGGGCCCTGAGCTATGGTCTCGGGAGCAAGGGGACAAGATGTCCTCTGTCCCTGAGAGTCGACCTCTACAGCGACGCCTCACGGCTCTGGCCCACCTGCGGGCACGTCGCACACTTGAGTTCAGTCCCTTCAGATGCCTCCACCCAGGAGGTCTCAGGGGGACAGGGTGCAGAGGAAAGGCCTGTTGTGCAGACTCCTTTCCCCCTGCCTTCCTGGGACAAGAAGCCAACATCCAGGGACCCAGAGCAAAGAAGCCGGAGTCATGCCAGGCCAGGTGGCATTTTCACCTCACATTCCAGGCAGCTAGGAACCTTCAGACAGCAGCCCCACCTTTTCCAAGCAAAGTAGAAAAAGGTGTTTGTTTTTTTTTATTGATTTCAGAGAGGAGAGGAGAGGGACATGGGGCCTGTTTCCATGTTGACTCGGTTTCTCAGGGCCAGACTCCCCCTGCCCACCTCTCAGATCAGACCGAGGGCTATAACTGCCCATGGCACCTCACCCTGGGAAAACAGTGCAACATGAGCAATCTGGAGTTGATAACCTGTGTGTCAGCCCTGGGTCGGGATGGAAGAATGTTCTGCTCAGAAGAACCTCAGACAATACTGTCCCCAGGGCCACGGCACAATCCTAGGACCAGCCCACTTCGAATCACAGGACAAAGTGGATCTCCAAGAACTCCCACTGAATTCTGCACTCCTCTGGAGAGCTGCAGGGGAGGCTCCTGAACATCCCAGGAGGGGTACACCTTCCCCCCCCACACACACATAATACACACATGAGCACACACACACACCATCTCGTACCCTGACCTCACCTGGAGCTAGATGTACTTGGTGCCTCACTTTTATCCAGGAAACATGCCACATCGTAGGCATCTTCGAAAAGGAGCTGAAAGAAAGCACAGGGCAGTCTGACCTTTGCCCTGGGCTGCTGCGGGAGGAGGAGCGAGTCTGTCTCCGAAGGGCGTGCCCATGAGAGCTGGGCCCCGTCAGACTCTCAGCTTGGTGACCTTCCCAGGAGGGGAATATGAAGCTCTTGCCCGCCCAGAACAAACTGCCGACCCCAGAGGGAAGTGCTGGGGATCGTGTTTCCTCTTTCTAAAGAAGACGGCGTGAGATGCCAGAGCCGAGCCTCAGTTTACCTGGAGAAGGGCGATCTATACCTCTGCAGGTGCAGAGCCCATTTGAGCCAAGGTTGACAGGTGAGCAGCTTCATGCTGAGGCAGCTGAGCACAGAGGTCAAGGGGGCTCTGGAGTTAGGCTGCAGGAGAGCTGACACCCAGCCCTGCCACTCGGAAAGCTGCGTGACCTCAGACAAGTGACTTCATCTCTCGAACCCTCCTCTATAAATAGGAATCACAACAGTCCCTACACATGGGATTTTGCAAGCACTCAATAAGAAGAGCTGTGTGAAGGACCAGGCACATCATGGCTCAAACAAATTAGCTATTATGTTGTTTTTTAAAAAAAACAAAACACATTTTTATTGATTTCAGAGAAGAGTGGAAAGGGAGAGAGAGAAACAACAGTGATGAGAGAGAATCATTGATTGGCTGCTTCCTGCACAGCTCCTAATGGTGATCGAGCCCACAACCCAGGCATGTGCCTTTGATTGGAATTGAGTTTGGGACCCTTCAGTCTGCAGGCTCCATCCACTGAGCCAAACTGGCTAGGGCCATATTAGCTATTATTGAATATTATCTGCTTTATAAAAGAAATATATGTTTATCATGAAAATAGAAACCAATAAAAAAAATCACCAAGAAACAATCCCACCTGGAGAGGCTCATTGTTAACATATTGATTTATTTCCCTTCATCCTTCCCCTAGGCATATTACATCATATATAGGGGCCTGCTGCACAAAATTCATGTACTGAGGGGGTGTCCCATAGCCCAGCCTGCACCCTCTCCTATCTGGGACCCCTCGGGGGATGTCCAACTGCCAGTTTAGGCCCAATCCCACAGGGATCCCACAGGGATCGGGCCTAAACTGGCAGTCAGACATCCCTCTTGGAATCCTGGACTACTGGCTCCTAACAGCTCACCTGCCTGCCTGCCTGCCTGCCTGATCACCTCTAACTGCTACTGCCTGTTGGCTTGATCACCCCCTAACCACTCCTCTGCCAGCATGTGCCCTGGCCAGGAATGGAACCATGACCTCCTAGTTCACAGATTGATGCTCAACCACTGAGCCACGCCGACCAGACTAAGGCGTCTCTCCTATAACCCCCAGGGGAAGGCCAGGAAACAAACGGAAGAATAAGAAATGCCGCTCCGTGGTTGTGGTGAAGATGATGTCAGGAAAATCAGAAACTGACCACGTGAGCCAGCATCTGAACAGCTCCTCGGACTTGCTGAGTGACCTCGAGGACACCCCTCCACCCCGCCCCCAGGGACCGCTCACCTCCTCCGGGGTGGACTCGAGCGAGTAGCTGGCCCCTTGGCTGTCGACGCCGCTGTCCTTCATGCTGTCCTCGGCACAGGCTGGCTCCCGGGGGGCCCCTCCCAGGCCTGCCAGGCCGCCGTGCTTCCGTGCCACGGCCTGCAGGAGGCCGGCCTTCTTCTCCTCCGAGAGGGTCTGCCACAGGTGGGAGATGGCCGCGGAGACCACGGGCAGGGTCACCTCCTGGGAGGAGACGATCCTGTCCCTGGTCAGGAGGTCCATGGTCTGCTTGTAAAAGTTGAGGTACCTGGAGCATAAATGACAGCATCTCCCAGACCTGAAGCTCAAAGCCAAGGCCACCCACCCCCACCCACCCCAGGCCGACTCCACAGGACTCCGTGCGGCCACCTCTCCGTGCTGTGCCAGGGGCTTGGCCTTGTTAGTCTCTGGAGGGCCTGAGCCTAGGAGAGCAGACACCATCTCCGGGGCCATGGAGACAGATTTCTGCTTCTCAGCCCTTCCTCACATCCTCCCAGATCCTGTGCCTTATAGAGGGGACGATGAGAGACCTGGCTGGCTCAGCTCTCACCCCACTTAAAATCCCGAGCCTCTGGATGTGCAGACGTGACGTGATGCCTGCTTAAACTTGAGGCCTGAGAGTCAGGCTCATTGTGGACGGAGCCTCCCATCTATTGAGCCATCGCCCTGGACGCTGATGTGGCTGCCAAGGGGCTATCTGTGGAGGGCGGTGAGTGGCAGTGGGAGTCTGAGCCAGCCATTCTCATCTCTCTCACTATAATGCTGCCCAAAACAGACCTTGGGAAGGTGTGTGGAAGGGGGCTCTAGCTCTTATAATCACCATCAACCCCCACCCGGTCTAAGTCAGCACAGTGTGTGTGCTATGCAAATGTAGCTTCAGGACTATTTCTTTAGCTTTTCTGCCAACCGCATCCCCCAGCCCCTTCTGTATGGAAATTCTGAGCATCCACGGCTCAGGGCCTGGGCCCAGCACTCCAGGCTGCAGCTTGCCCCGCTGAGCCTCGCCCTCGCCCCCAGGAGCTCCAGCTGTGCACAGAGCCATCTCGCTCAGCTGTTCACACCGTTCAAACTCCATGAGGTCGGGTGGCAAAGTGAGTGGGGAGGGGAAGAGCTCCACTTTTTCCTCCTCCTTCTCCTCCTCCTCCTCCTTCTCTTCTTCCTCCTCTTCTTGGTCTTCCTCCTCCTCCTCCTCCTCTTCCTCCTCCTCCTCTTCCTCCTCCTCCTCCTCTTCTTCCTCGTCTTCCTCCTCCTCATCCTTCCCGACTGCCTCAAATGGGTACAAGTCGTCGAAGTCATCTGGATGAACCTTATTTGGGAGCAGGCTGATGAGGAAACAGAAACAAGGTAACTACAGATTAATGTCCCTCATGAACATTGACACCAAAATTCTTAACAGTCTTAGCAAACATATATATTACATATGATATATTATATATGATGTGCATCATATAAGTCATATATTATAACACACACGTGTGTGTGTTCATACATTATAGCCCAGTGTGGTTTATCCTATGAATGCGAGACAGTTGTTTTAAACTTTGAAAATCTATCCACGTAACTCACCATATCAACAGACTAAAAAAAATCTTGTCGATATTTGATTTTAAAATAGCATGATTTTTAAAAATATTTTTAAAATATATTTTATTGATTTTTTAAAATATATCTCTTTTTTAAAATATATTTTATTGATTTTTTTTATAGAGAGGAAGAGAGAGGGATAGAGAGTTAGAAACCTCTATGGGAGAGAATCATGGATCAGCTGCCTCTTGCACACCCCCTACTGGGAATGTGCCCACAACCAAGGTACATGCCCTTGACTGGAATCGAACCCCGGGACCCGACAGTCCGCAGGCTGACACTCTATCCACTGAGCCAAACCGGTTTCGACTGTACAATCTCAATAGATGTAGAAAAAGCACTTGGCAAAAGTCAACATCCATTCACAATCAAAGCTCTCAGAAGTCCAAACTGGCCTTTCTTGGCTCCCGTGAAGCTGGGGGATCAGGCTGAGCTTTGGACTTTCCTTACTTTCATATGCACCCGCCAATAAGCCACTGACTGAGTTTGTAAAAGCTGTAATGCAAAAGAAGTACTTGGTCTCATCTTTCCATAAAATAACGTGCAATTTTTTTTTTTAATAGAAGGCTATGCTTTGAAATTAACATTGGTTTTCCTTAAGAGGTGAAACAATATGTATTTTAATTTTCTTTTTAGGGCTTTTCTGTATTTTTGACATGTTCTGTAATAAGCAGAGATTTTTATCATCAGAACACAAAATCCCAGGCACATTGTAAGATAAAATAGAAAAGAATTCCCCAAGAGAGTTCTAACCAGTGAGCCGCCCTCCTCAGCTCTCCCCAGGAGGCCCCGGGGCCAGCTCTTACCTGTGATTTTTGGAGAACATCCTGGCATATTTCTCCTTGACCTCCTCTAAGCTGTTTGCATTTCCATCCTGCAGTTTGAAGGATTCTGTTGGGGAGTTGAAGGCAAGGGGGAATGTCAGTGTGAATCATAGCGACCGCTTGTTCCACCATTTGGTCAATTTGCATATTGGGGTTTTATTATATAGGTTTTATCTAAGTTGTAATAGGGAAATGGTTCTCACTGAAACACCAAAATATTCAGAAACAATTAAGCTGCATTCAGCAAACTACTAGGGCTGCAAAAAAAGGCAAACAACTCCATCTGCTACTTGAAGGTGGAATAAAGGGTGACTTAGAGCCGAAACCGGTTTGGCTCAGTGGTAGAGCATCGGTCTGCGGACTGAAAGGTCCCGGGTTCGATTCCGGTCAAGGGCATGTACGTTGGTTGCGGGCACATCCCCAGTAGGGAGTGTGCAAGAGGCAGCTGGTTGATGTTTCTCTCTCATTGATGTTTCTGGCTCTCTATCTCTCTCCCTTCCTCTCTGTAAAAAATCAATAAAATATATTTTTTAAAAAAAGGGGGGGGTGACTTAGAGGAATGAAGGCAAGGGAGTTGAACAAGGACCTTTATTGAGTCTCCGTCTTTCCAGGGGGAGCACGGAGGTCCCTGAGCCCACCCGGGGTCAGCGTTAGGGGGTCAAGAGCCCAGGTGCACCCCTACTTTCAGATGTGAGGGGAAAGGGCTTCTCGGACTGGCCCATCTCACTCAAGACATCGAGAGAATCCCTTTCAGAGTTCAGCTTCCACCAGCTCGTTAAACTCAGGTTCCCAGCAGCCATCTCTCCCAAGACAAGTGCCGAGGAGGGGAGCCAGGTTCTGACAAACACTGGCTTGCGTCTCCTCTGGCCTCTCGAGATGAGCTCTGGTACCTCCCACAGCTGACAGCCCTGAGGTCAGGCTGGGAATCTCCCCGTGCCCCTGGCCCAAGCCCAGGGCCTGCCTAGCACACAATAGGTACTCAGTAAATATTCATTCCCTTCACTTCACCCAGTGTCTCTGTTTTGTTTGTTTGTTTTTGTTTGTTTGTTTTATTTTATTTTTTTACAGAGAGGAAGAGAGAGGGATAGAGAGTTAAAAACATCGATGAGAGAGAATCATCGATCAACTGCCTCTTGCACACCCCCCACTGGAGATGTGCCCGCAACCAAGGTACATGCCCCTAACCGGAATCGAACCCGGGACCTTTCAGTCCACAGACCGACGCTTTATCCACTGAGCCAAACCGGTTTCGACAGTGTCTCTGTTTTTAATAGAAAAACCAGCCAGTCTTCCTACCCCTGGGAGGGCAATGGGGGTGGCAGGTAGGACCTGTTACCTTTCACCTTCAGCAGATTATCCAAGATTTGTTCCTGTTCCTGAATGTGACTCTTCGCCCTGTTCAGAACCTGCCACTGTGGACAGAGACAGAAAATGCTGACAGGCCGGACTCCACTGCACAGACAGGTGTTTTTTTTTGTTTTTTGTTTTTTTAATTTTTTGGTTTTTGTTTTTTGTTTTTTTAAAATATATTTTATTGACTTTTGTACAGAGAGGAAGGGAGAGAGATAGAGAGTTAGAAACATCAATGAGAGAGAGTCATCGATCAGCTGCCTCTTGCAACCCCCTACTGGGGATATGCCCGCAACCAAGGTACATGCCCTTGACCGGAATTGAACCCGGGGCCCTTCAGTCCCCAAGCCAACACTCTATCCATTGAGCCAAACCGGTCCTGGCTACAGACAGGTTTTGCAAACAGAGGAGCCACCCTCCTCCCCACACTCCCTTCTCTCTCCTCTAACTCCCCCCCCCCCCGTACCCCTCCTCTCCCCCCTCCCCCCCTCCCCCCGCTTGGATGCAAAATCACCATCCTTCACGTTGTTGATTAAAAGGGTAGGAAATTTGTTCTGATGTGCAGAAGGCATGAAGTTTGTTTGTTTGTTGGTTGTCCCTCAGCCTGGCCTGTGCCCTCTCACAGTCCCAGACCCCATGGGGGATGTCCGCCTGCCAGCTTTGGCCCACTCCCCAGACATCTCTCTCACAGACCGGGGCTCTCATAGTCTGAGGCTCTCACAGTCCGGGGCTCCTCACTCCTTACCACCCACCTGCAGTGAAGGCAGGAGAGGCTCCTGCCACCGCCACTGTGCTCGCCAGCTGTGAGCCTGGCTTCTGGCTGAGCCACCCCCCCCCCCCCGTGGGAGTGCTCTGACCACCAGGGGGCAGCTCCTGTGTTAAGCATCTGCCCCAGTGGTCAGTGTGAATCATAGCAACTGCTCTTTCCATCATTTGGTCAATTTGCATATTGGGATTTTATTATATAGGATTTGTCTAAGTTGTAATAGGAAAATGGTTCTCCCAAAAACAACGAAGTATTCAGAAACAAGTAAGCTGCATTCAGCAAACTACTAGGGCTGAAAAAAAGGCAAATGACTCCACATGCTACTTGCAGGTGGAATAAAGGGTGACTTAGAGGTGGCCTGAGTGATGTCAACCCCAGGCGGGCAGCAGGCTCCCAATGACCTTCCCTCACTGGTCACAGTGTGCAACCTACTTCATTCTGCCCTCCTTTTTCCTTAATATTGTATCTTTATTAACTAGGGCCCCCCAAATGACTACTAAAGTCAAAATGATAACTGTGAGATTGTTAAAAAAAAAAAAATGAGAACTGCCAAGACCGGTTTGGCTCAATGGATAGAGTGTCGGCTTGGGGACTGAGGGGTACCGGGTTCAATTCCGGTCAAGGGCATGTGCCTTGGTTGCAGGCATATCCCCGGTGGTGGGTGTGCAGGAGGCAGCTGATCAATGGTTCTCTCTCATCATGTTTCTGACTCTCTAACTCTCTCCTTCTCTGTACAAAATCAATAATATATATATATATATATATATATATATATATATATTAAAAAAAAAAAAACGAGAACTGCTGAATACTGTTTATTCGCCGACTGATAGCTGTGCTGGGCCCGAAAAGAACAGCCCATTAGCCCTGCTCTTAGGGCACTGGCATTCTATCAGGAAAGACCGGCGCGGAAACCACAACTTGTAACACAAACTAGCATTCAGTGAGTGCTAACAGGGGGTAGAAACAACGGGCTGTGGGACCCCACGGGAGGAGGGGCTGATTCCACCTGCAGGACTGACGGGCCTCATGGACCAGGGCACGGGGCACAGCCGGACAGCAGCAGGCGCAGCGCCATGCGGTGTCCACAGCTGCCGCTGGCACGCCCGGCAGGCCCCAGCCCTCCGCGGTAGGAATGGGGGGAGTAGCATCTCCAGGCCCAACTCTCCCCCCCGCCCCCCCTCCCCCGGCTCCACAGCCCCTCCACATCTAGGAACCTCTCCCCCCCACACTCAGGTCCTCATACCTTGGAGGCCGTGAAGTCAGACTGCTGGTACAGGATTCTCCGCAGGTTCCCGAAGAGCTTGCTCAGGGTTGCTCGGTGGCGAGCCTGGGACAGGCGTCTGCGGGCCAGCCGAGGCTCCAGCTTCTGCACCCGCGCCTGCGCCAGGGGCCAGGGCGCCGCTCTGGGGCTGGGGTCACCGCCTTCTTCATTGGTCGCCATTAAAAGCTACAATGTAATAGTATGCTTTGGGGGTGGGGGGTGGGGCTAGATAAGAAAGATACAATATTAAAGAAAAAGGAAGGCAGATTGGAGCAGGAAGAAAGTAAAGGGTCCCAAACCAATGAACAGAATCAATAGCAGATACATAGTAAGCCACAGATGCCACAAAATGTGTTATGTACGTTCCACTCCTAAAGGCAAGCCCGTTCACTCGTATTTGACTTACAGGTGAAGGGCACTGCTGCTTTGCACCAGGAAGCTTCCAGAACACTGCAGGTACTCACCAGACGCTTGTTCATTGACTGCGGTGGCCAAGGAGAGCAAGCTGTACCCTGAGATCGTATCCTTCACTTTCTGTCAACAGCCGGACCGGGAGGCAGCCCCACCCTCTGTGGCATTTCCCCACGCCAGAACGCACCCCACTGCGACCTGGGTAGTGGTTACACAGGCGTACAGATACGAAAACATAACCCACCGAAGTGTGTTCTTTAGGTGCTCTTAAAAAAAAAAAAAAAAAAAAAAAAAAAAAGGCACTCTCCTGCCTGTGGAAGCAAAACGTCACACGTGGACAGAGAAGTGGGCTTAGCTTGTCCTGCGTCTAGTGCTCTGAAGGCACCCCTGATTTTAAGAACCAGGAGCCCATCCCTAGGAGAGGGGATTCTGGGACTGATACCTGACAGTTTTAAGAGTCAGGGACCAGGTCTCTTACCTGAGGCATGGACCCCTCCCTCAGGCACTCACCCCACCACTGCTCTGCCAGCTTTTTGAACAGAAAGGTCCTGTCTTCAACACTTCCGGGCCCCAGTAGGAGTGCTCAGTGCTGGGATTTTTACTAAATTAGAATTGGTGGTGGTGGTGGTGGGGGTGTCTTCCCTGGGCCCATTCTCCTCTGAGCTCAGTCCTGCTGCGCAGGACAATGCCTGACCTCAGCCACTCACTTGGGGAGACTGTTGAAAACATACATGCCCCCTAGGGGGCAGCTGTCACTTGCCACCACTAGGGGAGAAGGTGGCGTTAGAGAACCCTGCCCAGCAACTGGGAGCCGTGACCTCCACCTCACCCCGCCTGCCCAGGCCGCAAAAAACCCTGGATCTGAAGCTGCTGGGGTGGGGCCAGGCAGCTGGCGGGCAACGTGTTCCCCAGGTCATTCTGAGACCTTCATGGTTTGAGTGTACGTGTGGCAACACCTCTGTCAAAGCACCACAGCTGGCAGCAGCTGGGAACGGGATCTCCTCGCTAGAGGGAACATGGGGAAGGGGTGGGAGAACGCTTTGCCACTGAATTCTAGGGGTGAAATCGGCCAGAGGGAAGGCACCCAATCAGGCAGGGTGGGACTGAAAACGCCTCTTAGGTCAGAAGGCAGATCTCCCGCCGACAACGTGGACTTCCCCGGGGTATCTGCTTTCCCGCGGTTTGCTGCCCAGACCACGGCAGGAAGCTCCTGTGACACCTGCAGCGGCCCGTGCAGCCGGTGGGCTGGGTCATATCGAAGGCCACACCCTCAGAGTCTCCCATTTCCAAAAGCCAGTTCATCTTTCATACAAAGGGGAGGTTTTGAACTGCCCGGGGCAAAATGAGACCCTTCTGGCCTAAGGACATAGCTTCTCTAATTTAAATTTAAGGACAATGAATGCACCTGCGCAATACCGGGGACTTTTTAAGTCAAGGAATGGAGGTGAAAATTCCAGGGACCTCCCGGAATCTCGAGTTCTCTAATTCTAGAAATTCTATTACCAAGGGCCTCCGGGCTGTGGGACGCTCCCAGTGCCGATGGTGATAATTTGGGTTTCTCCCGGGCTTCTACTCACAGACGTTCTTAAAATATCCAGATGGCCAGCCCTGTAGTCCGTTTCAGGCAGGGGAGAAGGGTGCAGCCCTCAGCCTCTCCCATAGGGGGCAGACCATCCCATGACTTGCTCCCCCTAGGGGGCAGCTCTCACTGCCACCGCCAGGGGAGAAGGTGGCGCTAGAGCATTCTGCCCAGCAACTGGGACCCGTGACCTCCACCTCACCCCGCCTGTCCCAGGCTCCCTCCCGTGTCAGGAGCTGGGAGATGCGGGGTTAGGGTGGGGGTGGGACACACCACGAGGAAGATGCCCTTCCCAGGGTGTGTACCATGCACACTGTATGGCGATCCATACGCGATTCATGCTAACACTCCCTTCCCCAGCTCCTTCTCCCGCAGTAAAACCACGGAGAGTTCTGTGGCCTGGACAGCTAAGACCGCACTATCCAGGCCTGGGGGTGAGCGGACGCCCTGGGTGGAAAGAGCTAAAGGAAACTGAAGACCAAGAGAAATCCATGGGGACAGGGAATAACAGGCAGTGCACCCTAACCCCAAAGGCCGCTCTGGATCTTCACCATTTACAGTCTCATGGGTTCAGTTCTCGGCACAGTTCGCAGTAAGAAGCACACACCTCTGAGAAGCTTAAAAAGCCTTTGAAAGGGATGCTGCCCAGTTACCACGTAAGAGGGGTGGGGCGGACTTAGACAAGGGGACGAACCTGGATATACTGTTCTGACTCAGAAAACGGAGCAGGTTTTGGGCATCTAAAAGGAGTGCGAACCGAGGGAACTCAGTATAGATATAGTATATACCTACTACATGCCATATTTCTGTTCATGCTCATCGATAAACCAAAGTATACTTTCATTACCAAATGCATTCCTATTAAAACACCTGCTTAGAGCTGACTTAAAACACACACACACACACACACACACACACACACACACACACACAGAAACTCCCTAGACTAAATTTAAGAAAATTCAGAAAAACTTTCCACCACTTTTAAGCATTCATTCAAGTGTGATTCATTCAAACCCTAGGCACACCTATCAGATCACGTAAAAATAAACAAACAAACAAAAAAAAAAAAAACAAAGTAATTCTCAGAAATATATATATAGGTTCTCAACATGACATATACAAACATTTGTATTCAAGTCTGGCCCCAGACCTAAATGCTCACCTGTTTAGATAAATACACCAGCTTGACTCAATTGGAAACAAGCCCCACAAGGCAAAGAGCACCTTTCCGGAGGTGAGAGGGTGCGATAACCTCAGCATTCAGTCAATACTCACACGTGGAGGGATGGGCACCGGTGCACACGAGGTCCCCGCTCTCCGGACAGGCAGGAGGCAGGCCGCGAGAAGCCCCGATGGCAGTGACAGCGATGACAGTGACCGCTGACCTGGTGCCAGCCGGAGTGGGGACCATGGCTCCTGGCCTGGCCATAAAACAGGCCCAGCATCCAGGCACGGACCAATCAGGGGTGTCCCCAGCACCAGCAGCCAATGGGGAGGCGCTGCGGCGGGCCAATGAGGCGCGGGCAGCGGGAGAAACAATGTAACTTTGGGGGGTCTGAGGGCGCACCGCCAGGCGGGGCTGGGCTGACCTTCTCACCTTGCCAGGTGGCCACTTCTTCCCGAGAGGCAGCAGAGTGGGGCGGGAAATCGAAACCTATGCCACCTCAGGAACCGCACATGGTCTGCATGTGCCCGCAGAGGAACAATGGATGGTCCCCAATGGATGGTCCCCTCACCTGCCACCGAGCCCAGTCTCAGCGGCCCTCAGACGGGGCTCTGCTACCCGCCTTATAGGGTTATCCAGAGCTCAGAGAAGACACCTTGAATGAAAGGCCTGGGCACAGGCTTTGGGTCTCAGGAGGAAAGAGGGAAACACGTGGATGCCATGGAAAAACTGAGAGATGCATCAACAATGAAAAGTAAGTATAAAAGGTGAAAGATTAAGTGATCTGAAGAGAGATCAGAATATAATGGTGTTTTATTTTATTGTATTGTATTTTTAATATATTTTATTGATTTTTTTTTTTTTTTTACAGAGAGAAAGAGAGAGGGACAGAGAGTTAGAAACATCGATGAGAATCATCCATCAGCTGCCTCTTGCACACCCCCTACTGGAGATGTGCCCGCAACCAAGGTACATGCCCTTGACCGGAATTGAACCCGGGACCTTTCAGTCCGCAGGCCGATGCCTATCCACTGAGCCACACCGGTTCCGGCTGTAATGGTGTTTTAAATGTGGGAAGAAGAAAAGGGAATGAATAGCAGTTACGCGGAAGACGCCTTTAAAAGCTGTCACCCTTTGGCTCAGGAGGAAGCAGGCATTCTTCCATTTAGGGGGGAGAATCATTTCCCCTTCACTAGAGAATGTACTCTTGTGTATGGGTGCTTTTTTGCTTGAAGCCCAGCACCCCTAAATATGTCATGACGGTGACGATCCCACTACATCATTTCACGTGAGGGTAGCAGCCAGGCCAGGCGCCCCTTGCTGCTCTCTGACCGGGGGCAAACTACTTCTCCCCAGGGGTTAAGCAAAGGTCACAAGGTCTAGTCCAAGCAGGGTGCGCTCGGAGTTGCCTGCATTTGGATTCTTGCTGCCTCTTGCTGCCTCAGCTGCCTCTTGCACATCCCCTACCAGGGATGTGCCTGCAACTAAGATATATGCCCTTGACGGGAACTGAACCTGGGACCTTCCAGTCCGCAGGCTGATGATCTATCCACTGAGCCAAATCGGTTTTGGCTCGTATTATGCTTTTATTATGTATAAATAAATTGTCACCTAGCAGTCAGAATCAGTTCTCCTCTCTTTTCAAGATAAACATAAAATTATTTCACTCCAAAATTCTGCCTAGGTCAAGGCCCTGTCCATTCTGGCTCTCAGGCACCTTTGACCCAGGGTCTCTGAGGACCTTGAGGAACTGTTCTTGCCCATCTCCCAGCTCCCTGGTTTTTCTCCCCTGGCCCTGCTCTTCACCTCCCTCCACCACAACATTTCTGGGACCCCATAGGCACAGGGGGCATTCAGGAGTCTGTGCAGCCATCTTGGAGAGCCTTCTCTTTGTACTGAGAGGACACGCAGAAGTTCAGAAACAGACCTGCAAGCCTTTCTTTAGGTCACCCTGCACCCCACTCCTCCTCCACCACCACCCCGGACACCTGGAGAGCAGGTCTGCACCTAGGAGAAATGCAG